TTCCCCTCCCCCTTTTCTGATGAAGGGTCTAGGCCCGAAACGTCAGCGTTTCTGCTCCTATGATGCTGCTTGGCCTGCTGTGTTCATCCAGCCCTGCACCTTGTTGTCTCGGATTCTCCGGCATCTGCAGTTCCTACTATCTCTGATCCATAGTCATGACTTCAGTTGTCTCGGTCCCACTCTCTGCAATTCCTTCCTTTTAAAACCTCTGCATGCTTGCCTTTCTTGGACACCCTTCCCCCTTTGGCTCAGTTCTCTTCATACTTCTGTGAAGTGCCTTGGGACACTTCTCTGAATTAAAGGCATTATATTTATCATGGTTTATTGGTGTTGATGGAGATGACCAACTGAGACCCAAATTAGTGTGAGCTGTTGATCAATTGCTTTCGAGGAAGGGGTAGAGCTTGCTGAAATTCGTGTGATGCATATTGTGTAATGGGAACAGATGGTATTTAAACCATGACTTTAGAAGTGAAAGGACAGTGCTTGCTTCACAATGGACCTCTACTCTACAAAATCTATTAGAAAATCTTCCTTTTCCCTTTGCTGGTTGTGGATCTCTGATTAAGCTGTCAGCACAGTAAAGCTTGTCAAAGTCGCTAACCTGCGGTAAATTATTTTACTCCTTTTTTCAGGAACCAAGCACTCAAACACACATACCAAGTATCTGTCTTTGAAGTAAATATTCCTTCCATGAAGGCCTCTGGTGGCATCCATTTCACTGGGAGCATGGCACGACCACCCTTTCTGTAATAACTAGCCCTGTGGAATCAAACACAAACAAGTATGATCTTTCGATCTGATAGTTGTTAAAAGAAGTGTCTAATATTGTGCAACAGTAAAGTGATAGTTCAGCAAACCAGCCAGTAGATGTAGTTATCTCTGCTATTTTCTCAGCCTTTAAAGTAAATTCAAACAGCCAGTTTCATGCATTACTGTTAATCAGCCATATTTTGCAGACAAAAACTGAATATATTTCATCCTTCATAGCATAATATGGTTATTTAGATTGATATTTAAGCCTTGCTTTACACATAATGCTGCAAGTTTTGAGTAACTTGTAGATTTAGAGGTAATACTGCATTAAGATATATTATTATATCACTTACATATGATCAAATCCTGACAAAAAATATGATACAGCTCATCTTTCCCAGAACAAAAGAAGTTTTTTTTAAATATTTCTGAAATCTAGGCAGTTTTGTGACGGAATAGTTACTCTACTGGAAATACAAAATGTTCTCATTTTGGTATTTCATTTTCAGATAACAGTGAAGATGTCAATCCAGCTATTTAATGGGTTAGTACCTCTGTTAGGATAGCAGACAGAGGAATTTCAAATAAACATTCACATTGTGGACTAGAATCCCACAGGATGATCTTGAAGCATGTAGGTATAAAATGTCTGTCACAGATAGTTATTTCAAGTGGATAATTAACTCTTACATTTAGTCACTATAGTAAACCATTCTCCCAAAATGTAATGGTTTGATGTTAGATTGAAAATTTAATTCACACAAACTTAAAAGGTGAACTTATCAATTAAAAAAAAGCAATGATAGATTATTGTTTCACTATATCAGTCCTCTTTCAGTTATATCACTCCTCTTTCAAACACACGTGTTTCAACTACCCAAAAATCAACAGAATGATCGAGTTAAAATTAATGATGTAAGACTATGATTTCCTTCATTCACTAATGTCAGCAAAATCAAGTGGAAAACTTTCAAAGTTAGTAAATGGTCTTAAATATATTTCACTGCAATACGACAGAAGCAGATACAATAATTCCTGCATTACCATTTCTCACATTTTTGGATTATTTCAACTATTCATTGGTATGCATCAATCCTTTTTTACCCACTCCTTTGATTAGTTAAAACAAAGTTAATTTATAAGCAATTCCCTCCCATGTGGATAACAATCTCCCAGACAAAACAAATTTATGCTTTAAAAGGAATTAACAAAGAGTCCTCCTCCACCGACACCCTCATCTCCTTAACCAAACTCGTCCTTACCCTTAACAACTTCTCTTTTAACTCTTCCCACTTCCTACAGACTATGGGGGTGGCCACAGGCCCCCGCATGGGCCCAAGCTATGCCTGCCTCTTTGTAGGATACATGGAACAATCCCTCTTCTGCTGCTACACTGGCACTATCCCCCACCTCTTCCTCTGCTACATTGATGACTGTATTGGCGCTGCCTCGTGCTCCCACAAGGAGCTTGAACAGTGCATCAACTTTACTAACACCTTTCACCCCAACCTCAGGTTCACCTGGACCATCTCCGATACCTCTCTCTGCTTCCTGGATCTCTCTGTTTCTATCTCTGATGACCGCCTTGAAACCAACATCTATTTCAAGCCCACCGACTCCCACAGCTACCTAGACTACACCTCTTCTCACCCACCCTCCTGCAAGAATGCTATCTCTTACTCCCAATTCCTCCATCTCTGCCGCATCTCCTCCCAAGATGGGACATTCCACTCCCGCACATCCCAGATGTCCTCCTATTTCAAGGACCGTAACTTCCCCCCTCCAGTGATTGAAAATGCCCTCAAATGCATTTCTTGCATTTCCCACGCCTCTGCCCTCACATCGCCTCCTCCCAACAAAAACAAAGAATAAAGACAGACTGCCCCTTGTCCTCACATATCACCCCACCAACCTCCACATCCAACGTATCATTCTCTGCCACTTTTGCCCCACCTACAATCTGACTCCACAACCAAAGATATATTTCCTTCCCCACTCCGATCTGCCTTTCGGAGGGACCGCTCTCTCCGTGGCTCCCTCGTCCGCTCCGCACTTCCCACTAGCCCCACCGTCCCTGGCACCTTTCCCTGCAACCGCAGGAAGTGCTACACCCGCCCCTACACCTCCCCCCTCACCTCCATTCAAGGCAAAAAACAAACCTTCGACATCAGACATGGGTTCATCTGCACATCTGTCAACTTGGTCTACTGTTTCCGCTGCTCCTGATATGGCCTCCACTACATTGGTGAGACCAAGCAGCGACTCAGAGACCATTTTGTAGAACATCTGCGCTCTGTACGCTATAATCAACAACACCTTCTCGTCGCGAAACATTTTAACTTCCTCTTCCATTCCCTAGGTGACATGTCCATCCTGGGCCTCCTCCAGTGTCACAATGATGCCACCCGCAAACTGGAGGAGCAGCACTTCATATTCCGCCTTGGTAGCCTACAGCCTGATGTCCTAAGTCTCCCCAGCCCAGGCCTCATCCCATGACCAACCCTCCCTCTCATCCCCACCTCTCTGACCTGATGCAACCTGTCCATCTTCACTCCTACCTATCCGCCATTCCCACCTCACTGACCAATACCCACCACTCCCTACCTGCACGCTTCCATCACCATCCCACCTACCTTCTCCAGCCCTACCCCTCCTCTCTTTATTTATTTCTTAGACCCCCACCCTCCCCACTTCTGAAGAAGGGTCCCGACCCAAAACGTTAGCTTTCCTGTTCCTCTGATGCTGCCTGGCCTGCTGTGTTCCTCCAGCTTCATACTTCATGAACAAAGAGTTTAATTGTCATAGAGACAAAGTTATACAGCACGGAAACAGACCCTTTGGTCCAACTTGTCCATGCCGACTAGATATCCTAAACTGATCGAGTCCCATTTATCAGCATTTGGCCCATATCCCTCTAAACCCTTCCTATTCATATACCCATCCAGATGCCTTCTAAATGTTGTTATTGTACCAGACTCCACCACATCCTCTGGCAGCTCATTCTGTACACATACCACCCTGTGGGTGGAATGAGCAATTAAATGCTAAATGAAATATTGATGCAACACATACACACAATCAGAAAAGAGAGGTGAATCCAAACCAAAAGATGAAAGTTAGAAGATGTATGTACCAGTCTCTGAGTAATTTATGAAGCGTATACAGGCAAACATTGCAGCTGATGCAGTCTGTTTTGCAAAGTGCTGATGTTGATAGTTGAACAGGTGAACAAGTTTGGCTTTGCAGGTCCAGTGAAATTTCTTTGTCTTGGTTCCTTTCAATGGTATCTGGCAGCACTCAGAGGGACAGTCTTTTTTTTTAATCTGTTGTAGGGGTGTTCAATAGCTGTTCTCAAAGCTGTGACCTTCACAGCACACTGAATCACACTTTAGAAGATCACTAACACACAGAGACCACATTCGAAGCTTATTTGTTCCCTGTTTATTTCGAAAAGGGGAAAATGCAAATATGGCTCCCATCTAGACTGCTGTCTTTTCTTGGCCATCATCTTTACATTCTGAGATCCTTACAGGATTACAGTTCAGTTTGTAGAGCTTTTTCCTCTCTTTGAAACTTCTTCAAAACTTGCAGGGTGTGACTTTCCAGAGTTCCTTTCCAGGCAGTCATTGGATTTACATCCTCAGCCACTTTAGCTATATCAGTCCTCTTTCAAAACACACAAGTTATGATCTGTGGTCATATCACCATCTACATCTGTTAACCGCTGATTCCTTTGCCAGACTATATTCCATGGCAGACTATACTTTAGGCTAAGAGTTGCAATTTTGGGCAGTTTCATAAAGTGTTTCACTTTGTGAATTGAGCAGGTTTTCTTATGCTATTACGTGCAGCTCACTTCATCACATTATGTCCCATGCTGCTATATTGTCATTCCTTTTGTGTACTCACCAGCAACAGGAGTACGCATTCCTCTGGGATTTCTGCTACCAGTGCCATATTTAAACTGTACATCAGGTCAATTGCTGCAAGACAGGAACTGCCTCTCGCAGTTGTAGTCTGGGAAGAATTGCCATGGAATTGGCTGACAGAGACAAGGTGATAGGTCAATTTTCTGGCAGGGGCCTGGAGGTCCTGGTGGACAGGTTGGTAGAGAGCTGGGCCATCATCTTTCTTGTAGGCTGCCAGCAGACAGCACAGCACAGACCTACCAGCCTGGACAATGCATTGTCCACATTCCAGAGATTCATCAAGCAATGCAGCAAAGGCCGCCATCTCCTCTCTGTGACCTTACACTTACTCAAACTCGACTGCTGCACCCACCTCATACTGAGAGCATGCTCTATCACTCTCACTGCTGCTTGCAACATCACTGCATGTTCACTGTCACCACTCCAGCCTCCCCGAACTACAAACCCCACATTCCCTCTGCACCTCCTACTCGCTCACTTGGCACACTTCTCCTCCTTTCTCACACCTGCACCTGAACAAGAAGCTCCGCCGCCCACTTTGATCCCACTCAGTTCCAGCCATTGTCTCATTCCAAGAGAAAACAACCCAGAATAGAGTGGAGAGGGCCAAGGAAGATGGTTAGGTGACCGAAATTCATCCTCTCAACCCCCTACAAGGAGAGAATCCTTGTCTTAGCAGGAGAAGACCATGACCATTTCATATGGTGATGGCGAAGACCTCCGAATCATAGCAAGTAAAGTTCATTGTGTCTTTTTCGTAGGGTGGGGGATTTCATGTCTCAGGTGCATATTTTTAAGGTGAGAGGAGAAAGATTTAAAAAAAGACATGAAGGGAATTTTTTTTGCATAAAAAGTGGTTCGTGTTTGGAAGCAACTTCCAGAGGAAGTGATGGACTTTGATTCAATTTATTGTTGTCACATGTACCTAAGCACAGTGAAAAGTTTTGTTTTGTAAGCAGTACAGGCAAATAATAACATTCAAGGGTGGCATGGTGGCTCAGTGGTTAGCACTGCTGCCTCACAGTGCCAGGGACCTGTGTTTGATACCAGCCACGGGCGACTCTCTGTGTGGAGTGT